GGAGGGAGGGAGGGAGGAATGGAAAGATGTCTGCAATAGCCAGAGCTGGCACGTTGAAGCCAGAGACCAGAAACTCCATCTTGATCTTCCTTGTGGGTAGCTTGGGACCACACACTTGAGCCATTCTTTCCCAGGGTGCATTGCAGGATGCCAGATCAGAAACAGAAATGCTGGGGGTGTCCAGTCTGGGACACAAGTGTCTCAAGCTGTGGCTTAACTTTCTGAGCCACAATACCCAATCTGATACTGTATTTCTGGATCCTCAAAGGAAGGACTTGAGATATGACAAGGAGGCTCGAATCACAATGCTAAGGGTTCAGCTTGCTTTCTGGAAAAAGAAGGATGTGCCTGTAGCGTGCTCTGTGCTGCCTCTTAGGAGGCTGCAGTCTGAATCTGCAGTGCCTAGGGTGGAGATACACAGGTACGTGGAGGGGGCTGCGGGTGAGGGCTGGTGTCTGGGCCACCGCCCACTGCCATCCCTCCGGTACCTTTTCTTCCTTTTCCTGGTTTTAGATCTTGAGCTGTGCTCAAAGGCTGGGAGGGCTTGGCTCTGATTTTGCCCACCACTTACCATCTCCAGAATCCTCCACAAGGCCCAGCAGCCAGCACTTCTTCGCTGCATGGAAGCCGACTCAGGACAGCCCCTCTGGATAGCAGTGTTCACCCTTTGACCTCCACAGGGAATACGTTCCCAACTCTAGTTGCAGAAATTGTGTCAGTTGCGTTGACTTTGCACCGTGAAAGCATCAAGTCCTAGGATGAAAAGCTGTACCTAAATCCCGAGTGATAACAGTTGTGCCCTAGAAATGAGAAACTGGCTGTCTGCAGCTGATGGAACACCCTGTGTCCAGGTAGCTGCTTGCTCTTTTCAGAACCTCTGTTACCAGGGTGAGGCCCGTACAGCCTCTGGGCTTTGATAACTGTTGACAGCAATGTGGGGAACTGCTGGTGAGATTACGGCACCCAGGGTCCAAGGGCCAGCAATGGTGAGCCCTGTCCCTCCTGTGTGCAGAAAGAACTGTTAAGAGGGCTGACTCGTTCTCGCGCCATGGCATGTGATGGTGAGAGTCCTCTGTAAAGAAGGGAGCAGAGTGGAGGATGGAGGGAGAAGATGGTCAGAAAATAATGAATTATCTTAGAAGATCCTTGCATTTTCCAGAGCAAGAACTAATCAGAGCAGTCAAGCTACATGTGTGGGTTCCAGTTCTACACTGTTGTTAGTTGGCTGAGTGGCTTGGTGAGACGCTTAGCTTACTTCACCTGGTGGGATCAGCGCACTCTTCATGAAGCACCTGGCAAATCATAAGCGTTCAATAAAGGTTATGATGCAGGCCTCTGTGAACTTACTGGTTTCCAGGTCCTTCCACAGGGGAAGAGGTGCTCTGTAAGATTTCTGGTGTAGACAACAGGTTAACCCAGGATTTTACTCAGTAAGCAAACACTGAGTGCTTACTCTGTTCCAAGCTCCTTTCTAGGAACTGTAGCGATGGACAAGTTGGCAAGGAGCTTATATGCTAGTTGAAAAAGACAGTAAGAGAGTAAACCAATCAGTGAGCATACTATTTTATTTTTCAATTATGGATTGATTCATTTTGAAAGGCAGAGAGAGAGAATGAATAAGTGCTCCTTTCTGCTTGTTCACTTTCCGAATGCCGGCAAGGGCTGGAGCTGACAGCTAGTAACTCAATCCAGGTCTCCTGAGTGGGTGGCAGAAACTTGAGCCATCCTCTGCTTCCTCCCAGGGTCTACACTGACGGGCAACTGGAATCAGGAACCCAACCCACATGCTCCAGTGTGGGCTGTCAGCATCTTACCTACCATCTTACTCTCTAGGCCAGACACTCACCCCAGATGTGAACATCTGTAAGGAAGTGACTGAGCGGAGCCTGGATGAAGAGGGTGGGGAAGAGCTGTTCTGGAAGAGGAAAGAGCCAGCTCAATGAGCCTTGGTTGGCTGCCGGCTGGTGTGTCCTGGAGCTCAGAGAGGAATGCTGTGGCCAGGGGAGGCTGGGTGGGAGGAAGGACCTGCTTTGTGTAGGTCCTTGCAGACCATGTTGACTAGCATGTGCTTAGAGAAGCAGATGTGAAACAGAAGGCTAATCTGATCTGACTAGGTGAAGCATGCACTAGTTTCCACATGGGTAGGGAAGAAAACTGCAATGAGTGAAGAGACCCAGGGGAGGTACAGAAGGCACAGGGGATGGTGAGAAGCGGTCAGCTTTGAGTGATATGTTGAAGACTGAGCCATCAGGACTTGTGATTTTGTTGGTTATGTACAGAGTAGGGAAGAGATGGATCAAGGGTGACTCTTGGGCTTTGACCTGAAAAGGGGACATGTTTGAGGGGAGGGACAAGTTGTGTAACCCAGTGAGGAAGACAGGGGAAGCAGAAGTTTGGAGGATGGAATTGGAGCAAATGAAGAGCTTCCTTTGGGACAGGCAAAGCAGGAGATGCCTGTAGACATCCTGGGCAGCAATTGGGCATCGAAATCATCCCTTTTAGAAAATTTTAGGATCTTGTTCTTATGGAAACTTTTATATTTTAGAAACATTTTGTTACTTGAGCCCTCTTTGGTCCTAGAGATTGATATGTGGAGGACACAGTGGAGGATTTTTGGGGTTTCCCACACCCCCCCTGGAGAAGAGGCATTCCCACAATGAGCAGATGGAAATGCTGGCCCTCTACCAGCGACATGATGGTGGAATATTTCTGAACAGCTCTCCAGACCCAGGCAGCTCTTTCTCTGTGTTCTGTTACACCTGTCCTCTTTACTAAGTCGGATCTTACATCCTGTGTAGGTGCATTCCTAGAGGAGTTCAGCATAGCAATTAAGATCTAACAAATTGTTAATCGTGTTTACATTTGAAAGGTTCCTGGAAAATAGTCCAATTATGAGCATGGAAAGTGAATGTCTTGTGTGCTAAACTTGAGTCCCATTTTCCCTTTGCCATCTACAAAAGGCTGGTGAGTACAGTCCTTGTGGACATGGAGTGGGTTATAAATCACAAACTGCAAAGAAAAGGGAATGGGTGATGACTCAGTGTGGAAAAACCTGTAAGCCAAACCCACTTATTTATTATGTTTGGATACATTTACTTAGTTGAACTGTCCCTGGCTTAAGCTCTGCTTCCCCATTTTATTCCAACTTCTTAAGTCACTTTTGCTCTCCACTGTCAAAAGCACCTTTCATCCACTCAAACTAGGACATTTATCTTGCCCCTTAATCTACTGCCCTCTATAAATATTCTTATGCTTCCAACATTTCCTGCCTTCAGTTCTATGAGGAAGTCTGGTCATCTTTACATCTGGGGAAAGGTGATTTCCTCTAGACTCAATGATCATTACTCATCTTGGATGGGTTCCTCAGATTGTATCAACTGCATTATTGGATACCCCCTCTGATCAGACATTGTCAGATGGTAACATCTGTAGTGTCTGGGTGCACACAAGCTGGAGATGGCAAGATGCAAGGTAGGCCTTTTAGAATGGCAGCTGCCTGGACATACCCTGGGAAAACTAGGCTTCCCTTCTCCCTGTGGTGTAACAGTTCTGTGACTGGTGACTGAGTTAGGGACTTTCTCCAGGTCTCCGTACAATGAGGACAATTCTAGCCCACCTCAGATATTCGAATTCGATGAATGAATATGAATACCTACAAAACACTTTTTAGATTATCTGGCACATAAAGGGAAATCTGAAGCTTCACTGCTTTCCGAATGCCTCCGAGTCTTTTATTCATTGGGAAACAATATCGTGCACCCTGGACGTTCACATGCAGTCGTGGCTGTCAGTGCAGACACATCAGGCTTCAGAAGTGGGCTCGATTGAAAAGCTGATGGAGAGGTGACACCTGCAAAAGCAGTCTGCAGAAGTGGAGCACAGGGGGTTCTCATCATGTGCTTCCTGTGACCAGCTGTGTAGCATCGCTGGGGAGCTGGTTAGAAATGCAAATACTCAGAGATACTGAATCAGAACAGTGGGTCTGGGGCCAGGCATTCTGTGTTTGTAATGAACCTTTGTCCAGCTAATTCTGATGTAGACTGAAGTTGGAGAACTCATAGTGTAAGGTAAACTCTACAGACCAGTCAGTCCCTCCTTACCCTCAGGGGATACGTTCCAAGACCCCAGTGGATGCCTGAAACTGTAGCTAGTGTGGAACCCTATATAGATAGTATTTTTTTTCTCATACCAAAGATAAAGTTTAATTTATAAATTAGGTACAATAAGAGATTAACAGCACCAATGATAAACAATTTCAACAATTTACTTTTTCCTTCTTCACAATTTCAAGGATAGAAGATTCATTCTTATCATACATTTTAGCAAGTTGAGCGTATAATCTTTTTTTTTTATTTAGTCAAGAGCCTTCACCTTCATTTAACAAAAGCACTTTGCAGCTTCTCTTTGGCATATCTGGATTTCCAGCTTCACTATTGATACTGTGGGGCCATTATTAAACAAAATAAAGTAGCTTAAACATAGGGACTGCAATACAGTGACAGATGATTGAGAATTGACAACTACTAGATGACAAAAGGGTGAGTAGAGTATACAGCATGGACATGCTAGACAAAGGAATGATTCACTTCCCAGGTGAGAGAGCAGGACAGTGGGAGATTTCATCACCCTACTCAGAATGGCTCACAATTTAAAACTTATCAGTTGTTTACTTGTGGAAGTTTGCTTGTGATATTTTCAGAGTACGATTGGCTATAATAACTGACACTGTGGATAAGGAAAATGGCTGTAATGGGGGAGGAACAATGGCACATGTTTCTGTGTGTGTGTTTGTGTGCATACTTGTATGTGTGGAATGCAGCTGTTGAAACTGTCGCCAAGCATGGTAATATCAGCAAAACCTGGCCAAACTGGTGATTCATGACCCATTCTTCTTTGGTACTGTTGTTGGAAAAGAGAAATCTCTATAATGCTTATTTTCAATGTTTTGCATTAAATTCCTTCAGGGTTTTAAAATTTCTTCTTCTTTTTTTTTTTTCTAGGAAATTCCACTTATTTGGATGACCATGGACCACCTCCTAGTAGGGTAAGACTTGCTTGGGATGTGAACCCCTTTTCCTTAACAGCTTCTGACTCAACTCCACCCAACTAGGTCCCTCCTGGCCTTGAATTGCTTACAAGAAAATAGTAGGTGGCAAATGTTAAATTAATCTTTGGCTTCTAATAAGGAGGAAGGGAAGATCATGAAGAGAGCCAGAGGGAGAAGTGCGAAAGAGCTTCTGTTTCATTGGTAGCTGTAGTTACCCAGGTGCTGAGGCTATAGACTGGCTTCAGACCTGGGGTGGCTTCTCCTGTTTATTGCCACATTCACCTTGGTGTTGACACTGGCCCGTGATGTGCTGCCCACACCCTGCTTCCCCATGTATTTGGGCTTTGGGATTAGACTTGCTTCTGTCCCAACTCCCCAAGCATAGCCACTGCCCTTTGAAAGCTGGCCTGGTCTGGCCATGCACCCACTTTCATTCTTCCTAAGAACGGTTCTGCCTGGCTTTTTAACAATATTCCCTTAGTATATTTTCCCCACCACTGTCTATTTTCTTGAGATCAATAAAAACCAAATGCCAATGTAGTGAAAAGCAAGAAAACTAGAACCAATGATCATTGTACATGAGAAAATACATGTAATGCAATAGGATCTCCTTTATTTCCAAACTTGCATTCCTTGTAATTTTTTTTACAATACTTTTTTTATTCCCGGGAGGAAATGATGGTAGCAGTTGATTTCTACTTGGAAAAGGGAGAGGTTTATGCTTGGCAAAATGAAAAGTTGCTGATCCCATATCTATCACTCTCACTTTAAGATTTGTCTTACAGACCTATGAAATTCCAAAGTATAGATACCTGTGCTGCAACTCTCCTAGTACTTGGTGGTTTTCTTAGTCTTTGGCCTTAGAAGGCGATGATGTGTGCAAAGGGTGGTTGTAAGAACATGGTGAGAAGGTCCCCAGCCACCAACTACAGGGGCTTTGGGGAAAATTTATCTCAGAGTCACTTTACAGCACCATGTTGACCATCATGAGCTTCACGGTAAGATGTTTCTAGATTCAACATTGGTTCTGCGATGTTCCAGCTGTGTGACATGGGACACTTCACTTAAAATTCTCATGTGCAGAGCGGGACTAAAATTATCAGCCACAACACAGGAGTCTGAATGGATTGATGAGCTCATGTATCATACGCACTCAGCACCCACATGATGAATATCGAATCAGTGGTGGCTGGTGGTTGCCAGACTTGGGCATCGTTAAGATTGTGGATGAATGGTGTAGCACTTGTCTGTCACACTTGATCTACCAGAGGCTTATTGAGTGCCTATGATACTGCAGGCACCAGAAATACAAAATGAACAACAAAAATAGCCCCTGTCCTAGAGAAGCAATGGAACGTAGGTGATTTTGTGCCATATGAGACTAAGAATCATGCTTAATTTGCCTCAGATCCTCATATCCTCGTGTTAGCTTCAATGCACAAAGAGGCCCATCATAGTCATTCATTGAGTTTCATGGAATTAGACCGTGGAATCCAGAGCTGGCACCTGAATTAGGTCTCCTGGATCCCCTCCCAGGTTCTTTCCACTAGGCTGGTATTCTCAAGCTTCAGCTTGCATCAGGATTACCTAGAGGCATATTCAAACACAGATTGCTGGGTCCTGTCCCCAGAGTGCCCAAAACTCAGTAGGTTAGGGATAGGACCAGAGCATTTACTCCTACAAACCCGCACATGATGCTGGTGCTGGGAGTCTGCAGACCACATCTGAGAAATGTTGCCCTAGAGGCCAGGACTCCAATGAAACCTGGTCCCTGGGCAGTTTTCCTGTGTTATTCTCACTGTAAATAGCCTACAGAGAGTGGGATAGCCTTGTGCATAAAGTATATTTGAATATTACGTTGTCTGGTGGTGAAAATGTACTTTCTTTTGGCCATTGCCTACTCAGGAGGGAAAACGGGAGGAATGAGACATAAACAGCCTGGTAGATTCCATCACCCCTGTCTTCTCTTGTCTCCCACCGAAGACCCAGGGAAGCCCCCCTCTTCCTGTGCCCTGATGGCCATGAGCAGGGATTCGGTGGCCCTGTTGGTGGAACGTTTCAGCTATTTCCTGCCGTAGCTTCTTGGGAAATTCCTTTGGGTTCCAGGTTGCTAAACATGGTTTTATTCTCTGGTGGGAAGACCCAGGCTAACCTGAAATGAACTTGTCTTTTTAAACTTCTTCCTTGGTAGCCAACCTGAGCCATCCCTTTAGTCTGCCTGCTGGCCTCACCATAGCTGAGGAGCCCAGCTAACCTGTCCAGCAGCATGGTAGGTGCTAGATTCCATGTCACTCTCTTTGCTCCCTGTTATGCTTCAACCTTGACCCCTGTAGTCTGATTTTCAGTACCATCTTGATTCATAAAAATGATCAGATTTGTATGAGATTATTTTACACCACTTGTAGAGTAAATCTGATTCCATCAAATCTTTTCCAAGTTTAAGTATTATGAATACAATCTCTTTGAATCAGCAGATGTTTACCTAATACAGATTCTATCAGGAGAACTGCATTCTCATTATCTGAAAGTGGAGGAGCCACACCGTCCTTGACTTTTTAAGCAGTGGGCATAGGAAGAAGAAGACGATAAAAAGGATGAAGACAGTCCTGGTGCGCTGACATCACTCCATCCAAGGTTACGGCTTCTGGCAGGGGGAAGTGAATCCTGGAGGTCAGACTTTGGTCCTGTGAGTGTGCCCTGCGCTAGGGCCTTGGAGATTTGAGTCTGTAGACCACTGGCTTATCCAGAGGATAAGGACTCACACATGCTTGCCTCCAGGGTGAACCCCAACCTGGCAGGGGACAGCACCGCGGAGTCCAGAGCCATATTTTTCATGTTTGTTTAGCACTCAGAAATAACCTTCTGACGCCAAGACTGAAAGAGTTGTGATCTAGATAAAATAAGGTTTTAAACCCTGAAAATATACTGAGGTTACAGCGAGTTCTCATTTTATTAAAAGTTGAGTTCCACAAGTTTCACATTCCTCAAGTAATAGCCATTTAGGGAATAGGGTGTGCCACACAGCACAGACTGGAGCCCAGCCTTCGTTCTCTCCAGTGTTTTCCTAAGAAAAAACAAGTGCCTCTGGCTTCCCCTTGTTTTTAAAATCCGGTTGGACCTTGTGGCTCACCTCAGTGTTTGAGCACAGTTGTTGTTGAAAGGTGGGTGTGAATGTTTTCCTGTGACCACCATGTTTTACTAGCACTGTGCCTGTGCACAAAACGCGGTTGCTCAAGGATCGAGCCCTGCAAAGAGGGAACATGTGGCTCCCTCGCAAGCAAATTAAAGATACTCTTGAGTCAACAACAGGTACAAAACAGAAAGCAGAGTGAGGTAGCGCTTTTTGTAAACTTGCATGTAGAAAGGTCTACAGAGAAAAGCCTTGGAAGAGCAATGATGTTTTTTCCAGGCAGTGAGATTTCAAGAGATGTTTTCTCTTTTCTTTATATTTTCTGTATAATCTGAGTTCATTAAAGTCATGCCTGCTCAATCAAGAGACCAGGAAAAGAAATTTCCCAGGATAAGAGAAGCTGAAGGAAGGCTGCAGGGTCCATAGCCCCCTGGGCAGCTTGAGCTCCGGGAGTCCGATGCTTTCTCTTTGTTCATGTCACCTGGGGACCGGGTGTGAGCCGCAGGCATCAGCAGCGATGACTGCAGTTGGCAATAAATAGGCTGTAGTTATCATTTCACGTATCTGACGGACCCAAAACCAATAAACAAGAAAAGCTGTTCTAAGCAACGCGAGGATAATAAAATCACTCTCCATAGTTGATGGATCTCTTTTCCTATGTGCTTAGCCCTATGCAAAGCACTTTGCATGCAAAATTTACTCTCTATAAAACTCTGTAAAAGAGGAAGTAATTTTTTAATCTTTATTTTACAGACGAGGGAACGTGGGTCTTGGAGAGTCCGACTAACTTGCCAAAGGTCTTAAATTCCAGCCCAGCTCAGGTCCGGGTGACTCCAGGGCCCATGAAGTAGACCATTTTCATTTTATTTCTGGAGTTTACACCATTAAGTAAGTTTTCGGATACAGTGATTAGTACTCCAAAGAAATTTCAACTCTCAGTGTACCCCAAAAAATAGTCCTCACCATTTACCATGTGGATCCATTGGACACTTGAACTTTTTTTAAACAATCTGTGGAATGTCTTCACTTCTAATTTCTCTGTGTCCTTCCACTCACCTTTGGATATATACCTGGCCTCGGCATTTGTCTGTTTTCAAATTTTATAAAAGTGAATTTTGGTGTACAAAAGTTGAAAAGAAAATTTGGGGGTACAAATGGTAAAAGGATACTCTTCCCACCTTGATCTAGCAAAACAGAGCGGTGCAGGTGCTTTTCACACAATCATCATTGGAGGAGGTCTTTCTTGACTGTGTATTTTCTTTTTGTCCTTAGAAATCTAATGTTTCCTCAGAGAATTGAGGCAGGATGTTGTATCCCAAGGCTGCACAGGCTGAGGTCTCACTTCCATGACCCAGCTCCCCCTCGTCAGTATCTTCAGGGCTGTTGTTTGTCCCTTTCATCTATAATTCTCCTCCTGCTTGTGAAGCCTCATTCCCAACTATTTTTCTTTGTCATTAGGCATAAATGAAAAATTTTAAAATTGCTGTTTTAGCGGGGGCCGGCGCCATGGCTCATGTGGTTAATTCTCCGCCTGTGGTGCCGGAATCCCATTAGGGCTCTGGGTTCTAGTCCCGGTTGAGGCACCGGTTCTGTCCTAGTCGCTCCTCTTCCAGGCCAGCTCTCTGCTGTGGCCTGGGAGTGCAGTGGAGGATGGCCCAAGTGCTTGGGCCCTGCGCCCGCATGGGAGACCAGGAAGAGGCACCTGGCTCCTGGCTTCATATTGGCACAGCACCGGCCATAGTGGCCGTTGAGGGGTGAATCAATGGAGGGAAGACCTTTCTCTCTGTCTTTCTCACTGTCTATGACTGTACCTGTCAAAAAAAAAAATCGCTATTCTAGCCAATGAAACTTAAAGCAAACTACAAAG